GCCCTCAGCCAGCAGCGCGGGCTCCTGCCCTCTGCTGTTCTCCGGCCGCCCGGTGGTCTCAGCCCAGACGCCACTGTGCCAAGCCACCACCCTCCTGCTAAGATGAGGGCAGGGTGGCAGGGTTGCAGCTCCCCCCCCCTTGTTCGAGCATCCTGTTTCTACCCGCTTCCGGGCAAGGTTGGCAGCCTGGGAGGAGGAGTGAGACAACACAGGCCGGCGGGGCAGGATGAGATGCCCCGGTAAACCCTGCAAGAGGTGGGATCGCTGCTCGGGGGAGGGGTGGGCCTGCTCCCTGGCTGCACGGTCGTGGAAACCAGGCGTGCCTCCCCCAGCATTCTAGCTCATTCCCCAGGCACACTGTACAGAGATGCCCTCAGTGCGGCCTGCGGTAAGACATGGAAAGTGGCCAGAATGACTTGGGGGCCCTCCAAGCCTCAGTTTCCTCCCCTGTAAAATGAGGATGCTAAGTGTAAGGAATTGAATGAGTTATTTGTCCAGCGTTGCATAAGGTGCTGGCACTTTGTATAAGCCTCAGCTGCCCTTGTCAACACAGTTGTCATTACCACCTGCTGCAGGGCAGGGCACCTGCCGTCTCTCCCCGATGCGTCATCACTGACCAGTGGGAGGCTGCCTCTCCCAGAGCTTGCTCCCAGGCTGCTGAGACACAGGTTGGGTCTAGGTGCAATTCACCCAGCGTTTCCCAGGAAAAGCAGCTGAGTGCAGAGCCAGCCAGCGGCCAGAATGAATGAGGCAGAGCAGCTGCCTGCAGGGGCTTGGCAGTGAGGGGCACTGGGCCAGGGAAGGCAGCGTGTGCCCCAGAGAGAGGGAGGGACAGCTACAGGCCACAGGGGGGCAGGAAGATCCCCCACAGGTGGGGGAGGAGGTTGCCGCATGCGCTTTGTGCCCTTCTGACTGGCTCCTCGCGTACATCTGCTGCCCAGCCACCGCGTCTCCTGCTCACCCTGTCTTCCCCGTGCCCAGCCCCTCTCGGGAGGCCCCGTGCTGGGAGGGATTGAGGTGTGGCGCCTCTGTCCAGCACGCTGTGCAGACCGGAGTGCCCCAGTGGGCCCAGCTGTCAGCAGCTGGTGCACAGCATGTGATCAGAGGCCAGCAGCCCGCCATGGGGTGGCTCTGGTGGCAGGCACATAGAGCAGCGACCCCTCAACTCTGCTCTCCTCCCAGCAAAGCCAGCGGGACTTCGGGATCATCCGCCCTGGGGCCTGGGCTCTGAGCCCTCAGCAAATGCATCTTTGCCACTTGGGAAGAGCCCTGCCCAAGGTCTCGGCCACCTCTGTCTGGGCAGGGGCTCAGCAGGGGCTAGCTACCACTTCCACTGCGGCTACCCCTCGTCCGCGGGCTTGGCCAGGGCCAGGCACCACCCTGCCCGCGTCCTGGGTGGTGACGCCTTTCACCCTCTCGGCCAGTGTTCAGGGCCACTTCTGCTTCAGTTGTCTCTTCAAAGGACTGGCGTTTTCTAGGAGGTAATGGAGAGACAGACGCTGAGTTCAGCCGGCACAGGCTGCCGGTGGTGGCGGTAATTCCACCCGACGGGGGCACCTGGCCCCAGGTCCTTCCCCACGGTGAGGCGGGCGTTGGTGCCTTTGCCGCACACGTGAGGAACCAAGACTTGGAGGGGACTGCGCATGGAAGCAGCTGGGCTAGATGTGGACAGGGGACTTGGACTTTCTAGCCTGTCCCCTCCGACCTCCTCAGTTTTTGTACCACCCAGGGAGCCCGTCAGCCCCTTCCTTCCTGCCACAGTCTGTGCCCCCAGGGCTGGGAGGGTGACTTTGTCACCTCAGCCCCAGGAGCAGCCAAGGAGAGTGAGTGTCACTGTCGCTGGCTGCTCCTGTAGCGGCCGATACTCACCTTCCTCTCAGGCATTCCTTGTCTCCGAGTTTTATTCCCAGTGGGGTGGGGGGACCATAGGTCATAAACGCCGGAGGACCCCGCAGCCATAAGCAGGAGAACTGCGGCCCCAGGTGTCTTTGTGCACGCCATCGCGTCCTTCCTTTGCAGTAAGTCCCATCCGGCAGATCCCCGTCGGGGAAGAAGTGGACGGTGGAAGCCAAGGAGTCATTTTCATCACTCTGGATCAGTATCTGCCAGTTTATCCTTCAGAAAGCATAATGTAATATAATGTCACCACTTCTTTATTTTAATTTGAGGAATGTCACATTAAATAGTTTTTATTTGTGCCTCTAATCTTGAGTTTCACCCAACTTTCCAACGTTTGCTTCGTGCGAGGGCTTCTCACCCAAAACTGACAACTGGGCAAGGTGTGGCCAGAGTTCACATTTCGGAGGCAACGTCCCCTTCGTCGTTGGGCTCCGCCTCCACCTGGCCTGGGGCGAAGCTCCCACCCCTGTGCTCAGCGCGTGCGTCCGAGTAGCCGTGTCTCGTGTCTCGTCTCGCTGTGGGAATGTGGGAGGTGGGTGATGCCACCCATTCTTTGAGGGGCGGTGGGTGTGTGGGGACGCATGAGAGTGCGGCTATGAGCGGAGCTGGGTGGGAGTGACCGTCAGTGCGCCTGCGCAGGATGCAGGGGGCCTTCCTGCCCGAGCCCACCCCTTCCTGGCCTCTGTGCCCCTACGTCTGCCCATGCTGCCACCTGTCACCGGTCTCATCTTTCCCGTGTGTCAACCACCACACACTCCCTCTGCCAGGGGACAAGGGCCAGACTCCTTGGCCTGTGCCTGGGGCCCTGACCATCCCTCCTCCCCATCCTGCTCCTCCATGTCCCACACTTGCCCCCGCTTCCTTCTCAGCTCCTGCCCTCCTGCATGTGACATGCCAGCCCAGGCCTGCCACTGGGAACCCACAAGCCTAGACAGGCCTCCTCGGTGATGCACCCCAAAGCATCCATTCATTCACACCCCTCCCCCATTTGCCCCAACCTCCCTCATCCTCCTGATCTCGCTGTCCATCTAGCGGGGGACTCTCCCTGCCCATCTCTGCAGAACAGACCGTGCTGGCCCATAACCACTGACCCGGGCGTCCTCCCATCCGCCCCCAGCATCACAGCCAGCAACTTCAGGCCAAAACAGGCCATCCCTGTGGTCCCTGGGGGCCTGAATTTGGACCTTAAGAGCCATTTCCTGAGGTTCCCTGTTTAATACCAACTCCAATAGAAACGTGGTTACCTGCTTCTACCTGCCACACTGGAGGGTGCTCGGCAGTGGGCTAGTCGCGCCTCTTCACCAGCTCCTGCATAGATAATGGGTCCCCCCAGGGCTGACCCGCAGCCGGTGCGCCCCCTGGAGGCCTCCTGCTGCAGAGCCACTGTCCTTCTGGCTCTCACGTACATTGAACCTGGGAAGGTGACACATGCCCAGTGATGAGGTTTTAAGAGCCCAGGTTCCAAAAAGACCTGCCTCACGGGATCGTCGCATGCATTAACTGAGGCAGCCCCTGGCCCGAGGCCCGGCACCCAGAAAGACGCAGGTCACAGCAGCTGCTGGGGCCTTTCCACGGCGATCCAGAGAGATGACATGCTGTGGCAGATGGACCTGGATTCCGGTCCCTGCTCTGGCTTGGCCTCTCACAAGCTGCATTTTCTGCAGAGAGGGTGGCCCAGCACATGTGGTCTCCCGACACTGGGCCATCTCGGGGCTGCAGTTGGGCTGGCTCAGGGGGGAGGCTCTCTGCCCCTGTGGCCAGCGGGGACAAAGTGTGCAGTGGATGTCCCCTCAGCTCCCCCTGGCTCGGGCCCCACACAGCTGGCTGTCCTGACCCTGCTGTTGGCTCAGGGCACACTCGGAACAGTGACTCAGCTGCACCCACGCCCATGCACCTTGCCTGCCGTTGTAAGAAATGTTCTCTCATAATGTGCATTCTTTTTAAAAAATATATATCTCAGGTTATAGATTTTCTTTGTCTAAAAAAGTGGTTTTGCTGATTGTCTCTGAAACGGGGCATTTCAGAACCCCCTTGGCAGTTACAGCGTCCAGTGCTCACAGGTGGCGTCAGCCTCTCGCTGTCCTGCGCCCGTGCCAAGGCAGCAGCACGGCCCCCACCCACCCGCCACAGTGCGCCCCTCAGAGGCCCCAGAGCCCCTCGCCCCCCGGACGCAGGCTGGGCTGGCAGGAAAGGGAGCACCGAGGGCCTCTGCAGAGCCAGAGCCGAGGGAGCAGTGAGAGGGGGGTGTAGACGGGGAGAGAGGTCGCTGCCCGGCCCCTCTCGTGGCGGCCCCAGCAGCCTGGGGAAGGGTGGCTTCTGGGTAGCTGGACGTGACTTTATCTCTCGGAGCCTCAATTTCATCTGTCCCCTGTGGATGGCACAGCCCTGCCCTGAGTAGGCCATTGAGAGGCCACAGCCAGTGTCCGTGGGCAGAAGGGGCTGCATACGTGATAGTGCTGTGCTCCGGCAGGGCAGTTGGGTGAAGCCAGGGAGAGGGGACTTCTGTGACATGGGGGTCTTTTGGCGGAGTTTGGAGTCAGGCCTCCAAGGGGGAGACCTCTGCAGAGGTGTGGGAGGGGAAGGAGGTCAGGCCGCGGGGATACGTGGGAAGGGCCCCAGACAGCAGCGCGCAACATCTGCAGGGCACGGCGTGGACGCGGAGCAGAGAGCAAATGAAGTTGGCTGGGGGGAAGCTGGTCGGCTTGGGGTGGGCCTGCAACGCTGGGAAAGAGGCCCAGGCCCCGTCCTGGGGGGCTCTGCCCACAGAGCAGCCTCCACCTGCCTCCCCAGCGCGGCCCACCGTCTCCTGCAGTCCTCAACTGCAGGAGCCGCTGCCCTGCACGCAGCTGCACTGCTGCCCTGCGCCCTCCACAGCCCAGCCCAGGCCTGTCGTGTAAGCTGGTCCCCTCACAGCTCCTCCTGCAGACCAGGTGGGCCTGTGCCCACCCCACCTGCCGGAGCCTGGCCCGGAGCAGGAACGGGCGCCATCGAGGGAACTGATCTTTCTTGAGTGGCGCCACCTGCCCTACTCAGCCGAGGCCTCACAGGCCTCCCTGTGCTGTGTCGGTTGGTAATGACCACGACCTCTGTTCCCCTCACAGATGACTCTGGGGACGACGAGGACACTGCCACTCCAGCTGACAAGAGTGAGCTACACCAAACCCTGAAGAACCTCTCCTTGAAGTTGGACGACCTCGGCACGTGCAATGACCTCATCGCCAAGCACGGGGCCGCACTGCAGCGCTCCCTGAACGAGCTGGACGGCCTCAAGATCCCGCCCGACAGTGGGGAGAAGCTGAAGGCGGTGAACGAGCGGGCCACGCTCTTCCGCATCACGTCGAATGCTATGATCAACGTGAGTACCGCCGCCACGCTGGCTGGGGCTCTTGGGCGCTCGCACTGGGGCCCTGAGTGGGTGACCGGGGTGCTTGACACAGGCCAGGGCCCTGTTTCCTACAGCTCCAAGTCACTTCCCAAAGCCAGCACCCACCTGTACTCTCCGGGTTCTCTATGTCACCTCCGCCACGCGGCCATTGTTGGGCGGGGACGTTCTTTGTAACCGTCTGGTGGGAGCCGGAGTTGGGTATGGAATCCGGCCGAGGCCGCAGGGGGTCCGGTGCCTGGGTGAGGACAGTCAGGGCCCCACACAGCAGGGACACAGCTGCCACGCTGGGCCTCCTCCTGGGTACAGCCCACAGACGCACCAGGATCGGGGCCCACACATGCCCCGGGGGAGCACTGGGGCTCCCTTAGCCATAAGAGCCTTGGAGCCAGGTCTGCCAAGGTCGTGCCCACCTGAGAGCAGACACTGCCAGTGACCACAGCTGTAAACCGAGAGGCCCAGCCTGGGGAGTGAGCCACTCTCACTGGGTTCCGGAAGCCATGTTGCCGTGACTGGGAGCCGGGAGGGTCCCACGGTGGTGGCAGGAGTGTAGAGTTTGACTGTGCTTTCAGGCTCTCCCTCTTCCTGCCTGGTGAGTGCTCCCCAGAAGTGTGAGTGCTCCTCCAGGCCTCCACTGCCAGATGTGGGTCTGACTGCTATCCCAGGCACAGCCCCACAGAGGGACACATCCAGGCCAGGGGTGCCACTGTAAGAAGCTTGGGATGGACTGCTGGGAGCCAGGGGCTGGAGCAGGTGTGCAGAAATGGGGGCCACTACAAAGGAGGAAGTGTCAGGATCCCAAGAGCCTGACAGCTCCAGGAGGGGACCCAGCCTCCAAGCTAGGTGGTCAGACCAACCAGAGCTGGGCTGGGAGCTGGCACCAGGCTCTAAGTCCAACAGGAAACTCAAGGGCAGGGTGGAAGGATAGAGACTGGAGCCCACTGCAGGCCAAGTACCCAGGCTAAATAAACCCTGCGCATCTGAGACCTGCCCCAAGCCCACTTTACTGGACTGTTGGCAACACGACTGTGAGGCAGGAGGGCCACCCCGCCACCCACACCTGCCTAGACATGCTCAGGCCTGCAGTGCCCAACTGCAGCCTTGGGAATCGCCACCCTGGGGCCCGAAGCTGAGCGAGGCATACTCTCATCCCAGACGGCCCAGAGACTTGGCCCACAGGTGCCCCCTGCCTGAGCCCAGTAGGCATGTGTACCGGTGTCTGTCCCTCGAGCCCCCTGCGCCCAGGGGTGGTTGGCCCTGTGTACGGAGGCTGCTGAGACAGCTGGGCCGTGGCTTGTCTGACCCCATTGCCATCTGCACTCTATTTTCCTATGTCAGTCCTCTCGGGGCCACTGTCCTCATTACAGCCCAGAGACTGTGGGTCCAGGTCCCTGTACTTCTACTCCTGGGGAGTTGGGAACTCAGAGACAGAAGGCCCCCCCATCTGTCCCCAGAAACTACAAATCATCATCCACAGTCCCTCCAGATCTCCCTGTGAGAGGACGTTGTTCCTCCCCACTGTGGGTGTCCCACTGCAACTCCACCCCCCCACCTCTGCCCTGACGGGTGTGATCAGGAAGCTTCCAGCAGCACCTGCGCAGTTTGGGGAATCTGTGTTCCCACTGGCACCTTGGGCCGGGCAGACTCTCCCGGGTGCCGTATTCCAGCACGCAGTGCAATGCTGAGTGTTCTACCTTGTGGGCTCTGACAGAGCCCAAGGCGTGGAAGAGGCCCTGGGCAGGCAGCTCCTTCCTGCATGGACAGGACCAGCTGCTTCGTCCCCCCTTTCCCCCGGGGCAGCAAAGCTTGTCCAGCCTTCAGGAGAAGGCTCAGGGGGACAGTTTTTAAACCTCCTTCAAGTCTGGGAAAGACCATCAATATCATAAGCCATTAGGTCCCAACCTCCTGCAGGGCAGGGACGGGGCCTCTGGACACTGCCCGCGCGCCCTGGCTAGTGGTGCAAGCCCGGCCACGAGCCCACTGCTCCCTGGGGACAGTCCAGCCATCCTCACCTCACATCAAGTGTGGCCTCTTCCTCGGGTGCTCTGAGGTTTCTGGATTGGCAATGTTCAACAACAATGCAGTATCTTACCCTCCATGCCTTTGCCAGTGCCATACCTTCTAGAACACTCCTTCCCCACCTTTCAGATCCCTGTTCATCCTTCAGAACCCACATGGATGTCACCATGGTCGAGCCCTCTTTTGGGCAGTCCTTCCTCCTGGCTGGGACAGCAGCTCCCAGGGACAGTGCTGCGCTTAGACCAGTGTTTCAGCTGCCCCTCCAGGCTTTGTGCTCCCTGAGGTCAGGCTGTTTCCAGAGAAACTCTAAGTGGCCCACCGCTCACATCTGCCTGTGACGTTACCTTTTACAAAGCCCGTCTAGTCCCGTTTCCTCACCTGAACAAGGTCAGCGAGAAAGCTCTGCACCCAGCCCCCGCCTGCAGGCCACTCAGCACCCACAGCACCCCGCCCGCACTGCACTCCCCTTCTAGAGGGATGGCCCAGCCTGGAACAGTGTTTTGTGACATGAAACTGTGTGTTTTCCACGAGCGTACCACACGGGGCTCCAGCCTCCTTCCCCCTTCTTGTGGCACTGCGGGTGGCAGGGTTCTTTCTCGCAGGACTCAGAGGGTGCGCCTGGCAGGCCTTGCAAGGGGCCTTGCAAGGTGCACTGCCCCACAGTGAACTCAGGGCAGCCCTGTCTCTTGTCACAAAGTTAGGAAAATCCTGCCTGGTGGACAATTAACCCAGACCTTCGCAGCCCAGGCCTGTGCCAGGCAGGGACTCACAGGGAACAGGCAGTCCAGCGGACTCTTACAGTGACAGACCATCACACGTGTGTTCACCGGTGTGACCTGCTCTACAAAGGTCTACCCAGGGCCACCAGCTCACATGCCCACTTTTTAAAGCCGAGTTTGGGGAGGGCCTACGAAGGTCCACAGCTGGCCGGGGAGCCAGGGCGAGCCACGGCCAGGCCCACAGAGGGCAGAGGGGGCAGCTGCAGAGCAGGGCCTGGAGGAGGATTTCTCCCAGGCAGAGAAGGAACCGTCACTGCGCGTAGTATCTGTACACCCCGGCCGGGGTGGGCCTACGCCAATGTGGCGCCAGAGCCTGCCATTGGTTGTCCCACCCACTCACTGGTCCCCTTTCCTGGGCCTCTACGGACATTCCCCAGGTGTGGTGGGCTTGGTCGTTGGGCAAAGCTCGCTGACTGTGGGGGTGGTGGCCTCACTGTCCCAGTGAGGAAAGTGGCTACCTCTCCTTCCCCTTGAGGTGACATGGAGAGACCAGCTTGGCTCTGACGTTCTGGGCCATGAGGGAGACAAGGACGGGGGGTTCACACGATTCCTGGGCCACCTATTCCGTCCCCTGCCGGCCTGGGCTTCTGCCCAGATCTGCTGTGGCCACAGTCTCTTGGCCCCTCCCCACCTGTCAGCACCTCAGGTGGACATCATCTCTTCTGTGAAGCTTCCCCCACCCTGAAGGGAACCCACAGCCGCTGCCAGGCGCCTTCCCGCAGTCCGCCAGCTTGAGTCAGCCCGCCCCCGCCCCCGCCCCCCCCCCCTCCTGAGGACCCGGCTGTGAGCGGCGGCCCCAGCACACCAGCAGAAGCCAGCACAGGAACGGGGAAGAACTTTCCAGGCATTGCGTGGCACGTTAGTGTCGCACATGCAGACCTCACCCCCACTCAGCAGGCTTACGAATGGGGAGACTGAGGCTGAGGGGACCAGCGACTTGCCCAGGGTCGCAGCTAAGGATACGAGCCCAGATCTCCCTGGCTCCACACAGCCTGCAGCATCAGGTGGAGACGTAAACCTGACCCTCCCCTTGACCAGGGGCAGGAGGCCAGGAATACCTCCCCTGCCCTCTCCCACCCCGCCCGCCCGCTGACTCGGCCCTCCCCACCCCGGCCGCCCGTAGCAGCCAGCACAGAGCCCAGCTGGGAGGGGGGGAGATGGAGGAACACAGGAGCAAATGAGTGAATCACTTAGTGTCTGCCAAAATTCCCTAGTGGGCAATTTTTCAGCCCTGAAGAAGGCCAGCCCCGCAGATCCCTGCTTGCATGAGTGTTCGGGGCAACCGCGAGTCAGCGCGGCATTCAGGAGAAGCTTCGCAGCAGCGTTGTTAAATGCCTCTGGTTTTTAGAATGAGCCTTGAACCGCAGCCTCCTGCGCACAGGTGCTTGGCCAGGCCTGGACGTGGCCATGGTCTCCCCCATATCCTCGTCCCCACAGGTGCCAAGGTGTGCCTCAGATGGTGGCACTGGATCCGTCACTTGGTTTAAGGTGGAGAATGGCTGAAGTGATACACGTCCCAAGCTCGTGCTCTGGGTACTTGTACTGCAGAGTGGGAAGAAAGCCCTCCAGCTTGCTCGTGCCCCGTGAGCCCGACTCTGGTGGGAAGCAGTGTGCCTGGTGAGGACAGGCAGTGGGTTGGTGGTGGTGTGACAAGAGCAGTCCTCCCAAGCCTCCTTTCCAGTAGCTTATTTGGTTCTCACAACAGCCATGTGAGGTTGGTGTCATTACAGCCTGTTGTCACCATCTGTATTAATCAGGTGCCACCCTGAGGCCCAGAGCGGTCATTTTGCCAAGAGTTGCAGGCCCAGCTATTGCACTTGGAATCGCAGCTATCTGTCCCTGGGCTGCCCCCACCCCTGGCCGTGGCGTCCGTGTTCAAGGACTGGGGCTGTGTCACCTGGGCTCTCCTGGATGGCCTCGGCTGCTCCACAGCTTGGTCTTGAGCCCAGTGTTCTGGCCTCATGGCTCTCGCCCTGGGCAGAACCCTAGGTATTGCCCCAATCCTCCTGGGGGTGACCCTGCCCGGGCTGTGAGGCAGGTTCTGTCTGCAGCCAGGGCAGCAGGGCCTGGCCGGGGGCGTGCTGTCCTCTATGATGTTCATGTAGACTGATTTTCTTGCCCACTGAACCCTGGGGACATCCCTATGCCACTGGCCAGGGGAGAGGGCATTCACAG